TCTAAAAGACATGGTTCAGTTGGGCTTGGATGGAGCCAGAACTCTGCATTTTAAATCACACCTTGGAAAACACTAGCACAGATGTTTAAGAAAAACTAACTTTTCACACTTGTCAGAAAGATTTAATACCTCTGATTGAAAAGAGAGCAGCCCCAATGCAATAATGCCTCAGTTAAGTAGTTTTGATTGCTTCTCTTCTCTGGATATGCATATAAAACTGGAATGTACTGATCCTTCGTGTGTTTCACAGAACCGTATTACCACGCCTTTCCACGAATCCTCGGTCATTTAGAGCTGTGCTACTGAAAGGGTGGCACCCCCCCCCCCCAGCCAAATCAGCGTCATCTGGAGGGTGTTAAAAATGCAGACCCTCGGCCTGCCTTAGGCCTTCTGGAATCAGAACCTGAATGCTGTTAACAAGATCCTTAGGTTTAAGAAGCATGGATCGGACTGGTTCTCAAGCCAAATATGACTTTCCAGCCCACTTTTAATTTCACTATGTCTCATTTTTTAAATCTGAAGGCAAAAAAACATTTTTTAATGATTTTATTTCTTTTTAGAGAGAGGGGAAGGGAGGGAGAAAGAGAGGGAAACATCAGTGTGTGGTCACCTCTTGCGTGCTTCCTACTGGAGACCTCCTGGCCTGCAACCTGGGCATGAGCGCTGACTGGGAATCAGCCGGTGACCCTTTGGTTCAAAGGCTGGCACTCCATCCACTGAACCACCAACCAGGGCAGAAAATTTTTAATTACAAAGGAAAACAAGGTTTTTAAGGGAAAAGGCATCCCTGGGCTCCTAAAGGACACTGTAATTTATGATTTTAAGTCAGAAGGCAGTTGTTGGTCTTGGGATCTCATTTGCCCTGTGCCTACTTTTTTACCAAAGAAGTCACAGCACTCAATAATTGTATTCTTGTCTTGCATCTTCACTGAAAAGCTTCTTGTGAGCTGAATCATGTCTTAGATATCTAAATCCTCAGTGCCTAGCCTAATGCTACTGCAGGATGGAGCTTCAAAACATTGGAATGGCAACAAATAAGGAAGTCAACAGCCAACTGCTAATCTGAGTTACATCCACCATTGAAGTTCAAGCTTAAGGCTCCTCTTCTTCACAAAGGTTTCTTCAGTTATTTTATCTACCATAATATCCACCTGCTGTAAATTACCACTTATCTGAGATTTAATACACACACAGAGGACTTTATTTATCAATTATCTTTATTTTGTATCTCTCTTATTACCCCATCTAAACTATAAAAAGCCATCTCTTTTTATACATTTCATACTGCCTTGCAGAGTAAGCATTCAAGTATGTTACAATTAAATTATCTTAAAATAAAAATAGAGATTAAAATGAGAAAATGAACAAGCTTTAATTTTCCTTCAAGCACCACTCTAAATTGCCAGAATTAATTCTGGAGATGACAATACTTAAATAGCTCCCCCAGCTGCGACCTATTTATCTTAACTAACACATCTGTTTTGGTATACGAAATACTTTCTAAATTTCAAATGGTTAGTTACCCAGTTAGCCAACTCAATTCTAATTTCTGCTCAGACAGTAATTCATACTTATGTATGTTGACTATATTTAAAATGATTAATTTATAACAGATCAATTAATAATCAAAATAAGTGTATAGCTAGAGATCACTTTAGGGACATACATAGTAACTTATAAACTCTTTATAATGTATCTCCTAGCATGGCACAGACCAGGATTTCCATTTTTTAAAAATCCCCATCCAAGGACATGCTTATTGATTTTAGAGAGAGGGGAAGGGAGGGAGAGAGTGAAACATCAGTGTGAGAAACATCAGTGAGTTTCCTCTTCTACATGCCCCGCTGGGAGGAACCCTGGAACCCACACCGAGGCTCGTGTCCTGTGGGGACCCCCAACCAGCGACCTTTTGGTTTCCTGGACGACGCTCAAACCAACAGAGGCACACGGGCCGGGGCCAATATTTCCATTTGAAAACTAATTGTAGACACATTGCTCAATAGTGTACCCCTGGAATATGAAGTTTTAACTTCTGGAATCATAACTGCCTGTGAGAATATCAACATAGATATTCCAGTGTCTTGCTGAATCGTTTTTTTTTTAGCTCTCCTTGTTTTAAAATGCACTTGAGTCTGTTACACAAACCACCTCTAACTATCCTATAGATGGCAGCATTGAGCAATACTTGGTACTAGGTGGCTTTTTGGTTTCTGTGAGTAAATTTTTGATACAGTGTATACCATTACAGTACACCACAAGACTAATTTAGTGTAAGGCGACAGGATAATACTTGTACCCGCTTAAATTACTTCACTTAGATTCCACAAAAGCATATCTTCCTATGCTGGATAATACTGCACCAAATGTGCACTTCCAGAGTTCTCTCAACCCATTAATAAAAAATATGCAGAGAACAAATGAACCTACTATATAGCATAGCTATGATAAGTATTAACCGCCTCTAACGTTGGTAGTAAAACATCAGCAAGCAGGAAGAAGTGACCATATCTAATATCCTATCTCCTATGACCGACGATTGTCTTCCGCAGGAAACTCATTGGTCTGGATGGTATTTGTCACTGAATCTGGGTTATCTCATGATTTCCAGTCACTATATCAGCCACTGAAGTTGAGTTTTCAAAGTAGAAATCCTTTTCCACTGAGACACTTTTTAAAAAGCGTTTATAACCAACCATTTGTCTTACATGATCAAAATCCCAACCTTTGTGTGAAGGTTGTTGTAGAATATTTGCAGTTAAATGGGTCTTCCTGCCCTTTCCTTTAGGAAAGAGTACAATGTTTTGTTTTCCAAAAAAAATAGAGGCATGTTCCTTTTATTTAGCGTTTCTTATTTTCTGTGGCTGGGGTGTCATTTGAAAAGTCAGTCTATGGATTTAAATCATTTTCCTATGAAATACGAAATAACCTCCACCCTGCGCTAAACATTAGACCTGCAAAAAGCCCTTTGGTCTTAGATCACCTTGTTACTAGTAAACAACCTTTTATCTTTGTCCTGCCAAGGGTGAAATACCACAGTTACACTTTACTAACTTCCTGCTTCCCTGCGGCGCCCACCCCTCCCCTGCTCCTTACAACGCGGGCTGTACCCGCACAATCTCGGCCGCCACTGCTGCCGCCTCGTTACCAGTTCCGTATAGATGCTATTTATAGCTCTGCTGTAGTGGGCACGTGTGCCCACATCACCAAGCTGTCAGAAGGAGAGGTGGCAAGCTTTCAATTCAGCACTGTGTACACGAATTATAGATTAACCAGGTTTAGATGAGGTTGCGTGACGGCAGGGGACAGAAAGGTGAAAGGAGAAACGACACGCGCCCGGGCTTCGGTTGGGGACTCCCCTTTGCAGATGCTGAGCCCCGGGAATACACGTATCACACGCAGCTGAATGGCGCCTATGGTTTTTTTAAATTTATTATTTTTTTCCTACGCTTCGCAACCTACCTTGGTACCCCTACCATCTCTCCCCACCTCCCCTCCTGCAATGCAAGATTTGAAAGACGGGGAGCCTCGCCAATCAGCAGGCTTCTCCAAGAAACTCCTCCCGCCCCTTACCCCGCAACAGGCCCAGGCGCGCTTCTCCGCAGCCCAGCCTGGCCGGCCATTGAGCGCGCCCAGCGCCTCTTCTGCTGCGCTTTCCCTGCCAGCGTCCCGCAGTGCCAGAGAGCTGGCGGCAGACGAGGGTCTCCCCTGCGTAGAGAGGGGACGAAGGCCAGGAATGAGGTGGAAAAATAAGATAGCATGAAACCGAGTGTCGGTCATCTTTGTAGGGTCCTTGATGCCAGCTGGGCAAGCAGGAGACAACAGCCTGTTTATGGGTCAGCCTAAAAAAAGAAGAAAAAAAAAAAAAACTTTGGGGAGCGTTTGCTTGTGGTAACAGACACTGCAAGGCTGACTGTAGACCCAGGCTGCTGACCTGTTCTCGGGAAGTACCCGTGCTCCTGTACAACTGAGCTGGCACCATCCCTGTTCTTTCCCGATTATCCTTGTAGTCAAGGGTAAATATGTCATGGGGCGGTCCAACGGGTGTGGAAGCTGTGTGTGAAGCCAATACTTAAGCCAATATTTACACATTAGGCTTTATGAACCCCTGTGGGTCCCTAACATATTTTAAAATCTGAAATAGATTTCATAGTATGTTGAGGGCAAGTGATGTTCTCCCATGCCTTCACCCCTAGGTGTGAATCCCCGCCCCTCGCCAGGATGGGGGCGAAGCTGTAATATTTATATTACCCCCCTAATTGATCAGCAGCTCTAACGCCACAGTGCGGTGTCGGGGCGCAGGGAGGGTTGAGGGTGCTTCCCAGGATCCGTCTGCTGTTTTCGGAGTTACCAGACTCTCCCAATCTCCGCCTGTGGGCGTCCATCTGCTTATTCGAGATACCTCGGTGCAGCAAATGCGGGGATTCCAGGGAGCAGGCAGGCCCTCAAGTCCCTTAGGAAATCTTATAAAAATTCAGATCGCTTCACCACGGCCTATCACCCCGAAACTGAAACATGGCTTTTGTATTCCCTGGAGAGAAAGCCTTGAGTAGAAGCCTCCCTCCCGAGAGGTCGATCTTACCTGTTAGGTAAGCTGCAGCCCAACTCACGCGCCCCCTCCTCCCCGGGCCCTCCCACTCCTGGCTCAGTAGCCGCAGTGCATCCCCGACCCCCTCCCCAACTTCTGCGTCTTCCTGAGCTGGCCCCCACCCCCAACCGTTTTCCCAGACTCCCCTCGTGCTTTCGGGTAGCCACCCAAACACCCCGCCTGCGCCCGCAGCGGGGATTCCTGCGGGCTAGGGGCACCCTGGGTGGCAGACGGGAAGGAAGGCAGTGCATCCTTGCGGGCTGCCGCGAAGGGGCGCTGGCCGAGCGCTGCAAGGAGGCCGGGAGGCCGGGCGCGGGCTCCGCTGCGGCAAGGGGGGGGGGGGGCGGTGGAGAGGGGCGGGAGCGGGGCGGGCTCGGCCGGGAATGTAGAGACCCGGGCGGGAGCCTCCGCGGCGGTGGTGGCGGACGGGCTGCGGAGCGCAGAGGCTCCGTCACGTGTTTTTCTCCTCTGAGCGAGACAGCGGCGCGGTTGGAGGGGGCCGGCGCTCGGAGCCAGACGCCGCCGCTTGTTTTGGTTGGGGCTCTCGGCAACTCTCCGAGGAGGAGGAGGACGAGGAGGGAGGAGGGGAGAAGTAACTGTAGCGGCAGCGCCTCCCGGGGAAGAGGCGTCTTCCTCCAGTCCTTCCCAAGCCTACCCCCTCGCCTCCCGTCCTCATCCCCTCCACTCCTCCCCTGCCGACTGGAGTGAGGGTCAGGGATGTGCCAGTCCCTCTGGCCTGTCCCCAGCTACCCCGGTTGCTTAGTAGCGTTTTTCGTGGAAAAGCCACTTTCTCCGCCTGCCGAGATGGGCCCGAATGGGGGCTGCAGAGGACGCACCCGCGGGCGGCAGCAGCAGCAACAGCCGCAGCGCCGCGGTCTCTGCGCTTGAGCTGGTATTTGGGCGGCTGGTGGCGGCGGGGGCGGTGAGGGGGTGGGAGGAGGCGGAGGAGGAGGCGAAGGAGGAGGGAGAACCCTGTGCAACGTTGAGACTTGGCAGCTCGCCTCCCCCTGCCCAAGGATATTTAATTTGCCTCGGGAATCGCTACTTCCAGAGGGGAACTCCGGAGAGAAGGCGAGCGCTCCTGGAGGGGCAACCTAGGGACCTCAGGCTGCCGCAGCCTGCCTGCACGGGACTCCAGCCCAGGCGGTGAGAGATGCATCTACGCTCCTTCCCGGAGACTTGGGTCTGGGAGGATCCGGGCTGCACTCCTGCCGGACGCACAGCCTTTTCCCTGGGCATGAAACGCCCGTAAACTCCGGCTGGGGCTATCTTTTTGGCGTAGCCACTGCGTCCCTCTTCAGCCGCCCCTCCCAGGAGAAGGGGGGCGGCGTGGATTTCGGAGTCGAGGTTTTGGCCGCCTCCAGCCCTGTTTGCATGCGCGGGGCCACGGCGAGGAGCCTCCGCCCCTCACCGGGTGGTTTTTCGGCGCCTCCCTCTGCTCGGCAGCGGTGGCGGCGGCAGCATGGCGAGCCCTCCGGAGACCGACGGCTTCTCGGACGTGCGCAAGGTGGGCTACCTGCGCAAACCCAAGAGCATGCACAAGCGCTTCTTCGTGCTGCGGGCGGCCAGCGAGGCAGGGGGCCCCGCGCGCCTGGAGTACTACGAGAATGAGAAGAAGTGGCGGCACAAGTCGAGCGCCCCCAAACGCTCGATCCCCCTCGAGAGCTGCTTCAACATCAACAAGCGCGCAGACTCCAAGAACAAGCACCTGGTGGCCCTCTACACCCGGGACGAGCACTTCGCCATCGCAGCGGACAGCGAGGCCGAGCAGGACAGCTGGTACCAGGCCCTTCTGCAGCTGCACAACCGGGCCAAAGCCCACCACGATGGGGCTGCGGCCTCCGGGGCGGGAGGTGGCGGGGGCAGCTGCAGTGGCAGCTCTGGCGTTGGCGAGGCTGGGGAGGACTTGAGCTACGGCGACCAGCTCCCAGGACCCGCGTTCAAAGAGGTCTGGCAGGTGATCCTGAAACCCAAGGGCCTGGGTCAGACAAAGAACCTGATTGGTATCTATCGGCTCTGCCTGACCAGCAAGACCATCAGCTTCGTGAAGCTGAACTCAGATGCCGCGGCAGTGGTGCTGCAGCTGATGAACATCCGGCGCTGTGGCCACTCAGAGAACTTCTTCTTCATCGAAGTGGGCCGTTCCGCAGTGACTGGACCTGGGGAGTTCTGGATGCAGGTGGATGACTCAGTGGTGGCCCAGAACATGCACGAGACAATCTTGGAGGCCATGCGGGCCATGAGTGATGAGTTCCGGCCTCGCAGCAAGAGCCAGTCTTCCTCCAACTGCTCCAACCCCATCAGTGTCCCGCTGCGCAGGCACCACCTCAACAACCCTCCGCCCAGCCAGGTGGGGCTGACGCGCCGCTCACGCACCGAGAGCATCACCGCCACCTCTCCGGCCAGCATGGTGGGCGGGAAGCAGGGCTCCTTCCGCGTCCGGGCCTCCAGCGACGGTGAAGGCACCATGTCCCGCCCGGCTTCGGTGGACGGCAGCCCCGTGAGTCCTAGCACCAACAGGACCCACGCCCACCGGCATCGGGGCAGCTCCCGGCTGCACCCCCCACTCAACCACAGCCGCTCCATCCCCATGCCTTCTTCTCGCTGCTCGCCTTCGGCCACCAGCCCCGTCAGTTTGTCTTCGAGTAGCACCAGTGGCCACGGCTCCACCTCTGACTGCCTTTTCCCGCGGAGGTCTAGCGCCTCTGTGTCCGGCTCCCCCAGCGATGGCGGTTTCATCTCTTCCGATGAGTACGGCTCCAGCCCCTGCGACTTCCGAAGTTCCTTCCGCAGCGTCACCCCGGATTCGCTGGGCCATACTCCACCAGCCCGCGGAGAGGAGGAGCTGAGCAACTACATCTGCATGGGAGGCAAGGGGGCGTCCACCCTCACCGCCCCCAATGGCCACTACATTTTGCCGCGGGGTGGCAATGGACACCGCCACCTCGCAGGCGCTGGCTTGGGCACGAGCCCAGCCCTGGCTGCGGAGGAAGCAGCCGGTGCTGCAGATCTGGATAATCGGTTTCGAAAGCGGACTCACTCTGCAGGCACGTCCCCCACCATTTCCCACCAGAAGACCTCATCCCAGTCCTCCGTGGCTTCCATTGAGGAATATACAGAGATGATGCCTGCCTACCCGCCAGGAGGTGGCAGTGGAGGCCGACTGCCCGGCTACCGGCACTCCGCCTTCGTGCCCACCCAGTCCTACCCCGAGGAGGGTCTGGAAATGCACACCATGGAGCGTCGTGGAGGCCACAGCCGCCCAGACACCTCCACCCTCCACACTGACGATGGCTACATGCCCATGTCCCCAGGGGTAGCCCCAGTGCCCAGCAGCCGGAAAGGCGGTGGAGACTACATGCCCATGAGCCCCAAGAGTGTGTCTGCCCCGCAGCAGATCGTCAACCCCGTCAGACGCCACCCGCAGAGAGTGGACCCCAATGGCTACATGATGATGTCCCCGAGCGGCAGCTGCTCCCCTGACGCTGGGGGTGGGCCCAGCGGCAGCAACACTGCAGCGGCCCCGTCCGGGAGTAGCTACGGGAAAATGTGGACAAACGGGGTCGGGGGCCATCACTCTCACGCCCTGCCACACCCCAAACTGCCCGTGGAGAGTAGCGGTAGCAAGCTCTTGTCTTGTACAGGTGACTACATGAACATGTCGCCGGTGGGGGACTCCAACACCAGCAGCCCTTCTGACTGCTACTACGGCCCCGAGGACCCCCAGCACAAGCCAGTTCTCTCCTACTACTCATTGCCAAGGTCCTTTAAGCACACCCAGCGCCCGGGGGACCTGGAGGAGACCGCCCGGCACCAGCACCTCCGCCTTTCCTCCAGCTCTGGTCGCCTTCTCTATGCTGCAGCCACCGAAGATTCCTCTTCCTCCACCAGCAGCGACAGCCTGGGCGGGGGATACTGCGGGGTGAGGTCTGAACCCGGCCTCCCGCATCATCTCCACCATCAGGTCCTGCAGCCCCATCTGCCTCGAAAGGTGGACACAGCTGCGCAGACCCACAGCCGCCTGGCTCGGCCCACGAGGCTGTCCTTGGGGGACCCCAAGGCCAGCACCTTACCTCGGGCACGAGAGCAGCAGCAGCCGGCCCTGCTGCAGCCTCCGGAGCCCAAGAGCCCAGGGGAATACGTGAATATTGAGTTTGGGAGTGATCAGCCCGGCTACTTGTCTGGCCCCATGGCATCCCATAGCTCGCCTTCTGTCCGGTGTCCATCCCAACTCCACCCAGCTCCCAGGGAGGAAGAGACCGGCACCGAAGAGTACATGAACATGGACCTGGGGCCTGGCCGGAGGGCCACCTGGCAGGAGAGCCCAGGGGTCCAGCCTGGAAGAGTGGGCCCTGCACCTCCGGGGACTGCTACCATGTGCAGGCCTACCCGGGCTGTGCCCAGCACCCGGGGTGACTACATGACCATGCAGATGGGTTGTCCCCATCAGAGCTATGCGGACTCCTCTCCGGTTGCCCCTGTCAGCTATGCTGAAATCCGGACGGGCACTGTGGAGGAGGTGAGCCTTCCTGGGGCCACAGCGGCGGCTCCCTCCTCGTCCTCAGCAGCTTCTGCTTCCCCTACTGGGACTAAAGGAACAGGGGACGTGGGGGCCCGCTCTTCCCTGCTGGGGGCCCCACAGGGACCCGGGGGCACGAGTGCCTTCACCCGGGTGAACCTCAGTCCGAACAGCAACCAGAGTGCCAAAGTGATCCGAGCAGACCCGCAAGGGTGCCGGAGGCGGCATAGCTCTGAGACCTTCTCCTCCACACCGAGCACCCCCCTGGCAGGCAACTCAGTGCCCTTCACTGGGGGGACTGCCGGAGGGGGCAGCAGTGGTGGCGGCAGCAACACCGAGGATGTGAAACGTCACAGCTCTGCTTCCTTTGAGAACGTGTGGCTGAGGCCTGGGGAGCTCGGGGGAGCCCCCAAGGAGGAGCCTGCTCAAGTTTCTGGGGCTGCGGGGGGGCTGGAGAACGGTCTCAACTACATAGACCTGGATTTGGTCAAGGACGTCAAGCAGCGCCCCCCTCAAGGGCAGCCTCCCCTGCCCCCGCCCCCTCATCAGCCTCTGGGCAGCAAGGAGGGCAGCGCCACCAGCCGCTCCAGCGAGGATTTAAGCGCCTATGCCAGCATCAGTTTCCAGAAGCAGCCAGAAGATCTCCAGTAGCTCAACTGGACATCACAGCAGGTGCGTTCTATGGTGACAAAGTCAGAAGACAAAATTGCTGTTAACCTTGTGCCTGAATTCTCTTCACCTTTGCCTCTGGCCCTTCCATCTTTTTTCTGCTTCTTCCTTAGAGAGTGAACTCTGGTGGGGGAGGGGGGCGGTCGGGGCACCCAGGGTGCTCACCCCACAGCAACCCCTGGATGAGAGTCCTGTAGTCCTGTGGGAGTGGCAGCCCGGGAGGGCTGTTCCATTGGAGGTTCCCAACTGTAGTGTTTTCAAAACATATTCTGCAACACCAGTTCTGAGGTTTGTGCAGTTCATGTATGAGAACCTTGATCTCCTTGCTGAAGTTTACTTCTGACTCTACATTTAGGTCACGCCCTGGAAGGGGCAATTCTGCAAAAATATTGGTTAGAACAGAGCCCAAACCTTCACCTAAACTCATTTCCTGGCACTCTTAGGTTAATCCTGATCAGTTGCTCTGTGGACTTTATTTCCGTGATTACACAATACCAAGACAAGGCAAACAGCAGTAGGAAACATTCATTTTTATTCACGCTCTCTCCAAAAGGATTCAGGAATGAGATGGTTAGGCTTGCATATTTAGAAATACTTATCTACCTATGACCCTTTAGAAAGTAATTATTGGTGAGGCTTTCTTTTTGTTCCTGAAGCAGGATTTGTGAAATACTCACACACTGACCCACCATCTCTCAGGCATGGCCGCTTCTGCACATGGTACGCAGTGAAATCTGCATGTGTCTGGGATCCATTATTAGTTAAAAGTTATGGAAATTCAACCCGGCATGCCTGCCTCACTGTTGTCTGTTCTCGCAAAGGCCTGCACAGAGGCGTCACAGAGGTCATCTGGGGGCTCCTGTGCATCTTCTGTGAAATTAGTTAACGTGTTTATGTTGAGAGAAGGAGTATTAGGTCAGGGCAGTGGAGGGGTTTGGTAGGGTTCTGCCTTCCATGTAAAAGACTAAACCCTGTACTCTTCATTTTTAGGACATTTATTATTTGCCTTGAAATTCAAGTGTGGACGCCTCATTAAAAGTTGGAAGTTGGCTTTAGGTCTTCTGTGGTAAGGCTCTGTGGAAAAGGAAGAGCGTTTGTAATGGGAAATTAGCTCGCCCTTCTGTCTACTGAGGCTGTTTTCTGGTGGTCATAACCTTGGGAGGAAGAGAGGAGTATAGTTTGCAGATAATGTGGTGAGCTGGCACTGCAGAAGTTTCCAGCATTTGGAAACACTTTATTCTGACAGTCATCCTTGTGATAGTCTTTTTATATATACTTCACAGAATGAGCTTTTAGAAGCATTATTCTTAATAGCATTCATTGGTGAGAAATTTAATTTGTGCATTTGGATTCCTATTGATAGGTATTTGTTCATGATGAGATCACAGCCTCCTTGATTCTAACAGTTTCCAATATTTCAGCCATATCATTCTCTATGTTACAGAACAAGAAGTAGGTATATGAACAAACTAAGATTTTAGGTGATAGGATATATTCTAAAAAGCAGTAATTTGATCAATACTCAGCATTTATTTTCATGATTCACCAGAGAAGACTGAATTATGTTCATCAACATCAACAGTAAAAATCTTTGAAGATGTTCTGGGGAATGCGAATCCCTCTAAAACTTTACTCGTTTTTGATGCAAAGTCTTTTATTTATAAAGCAATAAAAATATGAAGGAAAAATCCCCAGCAGAACTTAAATTTATAAGATGAAAGAATAGGCTAAGGAACAATGAGTTTTCCTCACCTGTTATATTAATTTGAACAGATTGCTTTACATAGAGTAGAAGAAATAATATTGCTCTGAAGGCAATTGATGACCAAATAGAATTCTCAATTTTAAAATGGGCTTAAAATCCTCCCTATGTGGAAAATACATTAAAAAACAAACAAAATAGTCTCCTGTTCTTAGCTTTCTTGGGGAAAACATAGTATCTGGATTAATCATGTAATCATTTCCCTAATAATCCTGGAGCATCAGTAGGACCATGCCCTAACAGCACCATGCCAGCCAGTTCTACAGTTTATTTGTGAGATGTGAATGGAGAGAGAGGGGTGTGTATCTTTGAAATAAGGCACCAAATGCTACTTGGCACATGGATACCCTGAATGTTGCTTGCTTGTCTTTGCCCTGTTGAGCTTAAACGTGTGATTTGATAGTCAATTATACACTGAATCTGAAAGAAATCAAACCTGTCCCTGGCAAACAACTTTTCCTAGAAATATGTTAACTTTGTGAAAACACAGTAACTTCCTGAGCAATTACTACCCTTGCCTCTTTCCCATTTTTTCAGGTGAAACCTGAAACACGAGAGGCAGTGGGATGCTACAAAGAGTGAGGAATGTGCTGGCTCTTCTAGCCCCTCACTTTAAACATCTCTGCTTGTCTGATGTTTTTTGCTACTAAAGGAGAACATTCGCGAGGCATTTATTTAGCTCAGGTGCCCTCTGCTTCACCCCCCCTGTAGCCACCTTTCCTGTGTCTCCTCTAACTTGGTTCTGTCCGGCTGGATTGTTTTCTCGGAACCCTCCTCTCCCATTCCCTTTGTTTCCCACCTCTTATTTCATGTTCCTGGCATTGCCCACCCCCCCCTTCGCTCCATACCAGAATTTCTCAGTGCGTGTGGCCTGCGCTCTGCAGAGTCAGGGGAGAGCCCAGGAAGGCGGGCAAAGAGGACACAGCAGCCCAGTTACTTTCAACCAGCGTTTACCTCACATGTGTTTTTTCCTTCCAAACTGCAGCTGGGCAGATAGAGCAGGCTTTGGCAAAGACGGCATCCCTTTTTTTATTTTTGGAGGGGACGGGTCAAAGATTCTGTACCTCCACGACCACCTGCCATGTCTCCCTCGCTGTGTGGGCTTTCTGTCTGGCGCACACCCTTCGGGCTCTGGCACTGTCCCTTTTCCCCAAGTCACCTCTGCTTCCTGCATTCCTCTCTATTTATTTGCCACTTGGCTTCCCCCTCCCTCCTAGCCCCCTTTTGCCAGGGGTTGGAGATTCTGCTGTGGGGCCCAGTTTGCTCTCTGAAGTCTGCCACCCCGCCCACCTCCGGTGGCCTGGGGGCGCTGAGGTGGCCGGAAGGGGGTGGGGGTGGCCCTTCCAGGGCAGTGGTGGTGGGCGAGCCGCTGCCCCTGGGGCCAAAGCCCAGAGAATGGCTCTGAGGGGGCGGGGCAGACAGGAGCTGATTGGCCCCCACCAGAGCCAATCGGTGCGAGTATCAGCTGAGCTGTGCCCATGTGGGGCGGAGCCAGGGGTGGCCAGGGTCCCTTAGTGGCCGCTGGCCTGGCGTCCAGGGCAGCCTTTTCCCACCCTCTCCCTCCATCCCTTTCCTGAGCCAAGCACGAGCCCCTCCCACCCCCTCTCAGAGGAGGTTCTGCACTTAGCCTTGTGCAGCCATCGAGCCTGGAATCCTAAGAATGAGAAAGTCCAACCAGCCCACTTGACAGGAGTCAGAGACAGACACTTCCTTTTATTTTTAATTGAGAAAAATCCGGGCCGTGACCATGTGACGTGCCCCATTTTGTTTCCTTCTGGTTACTACGGTTTACTAAGACGCCCTGTTCCTTCATCTTCCTGTCTTAAAATCCAGGAGCAGGAGGGAGCTGCAGCCCATAGTTGCAGGGTTTGATGGAGCTGGCTCAGGACCCTCACATTTACATCCCTTACTACAGGGAGGGAATCATTGGGGAAAAAACTCATCTGGCCTGAAATTGCATTAGGGTCAACTCTATATTGAATGCCTGCAGTTTGCAAAGCGTGGACAAAAACGAACTCTTCTAGGCCCCGAGGGAGCTCACAGAGAAATGAAAACGTCCCACAGGAGATTCGTTACAAAGGCTCGGGTCAGTTTCCTTTCTGAGGTTGAAGGAAATGCCGCTTATGCCCCCCAAAACATTTATTTTTTGACGTCCACAGCCCACGTGAAAAGTCATCAGGACAAGCTGGGGAACCAATTTTGAGAACCTGCGAGATGGGTGTTGTGCTCTCTCAAATAATCAAAATTATGTGAGATGTATTACTATACGGGGTGGAAACTTTGCTGAGATCTGTCCTTTCTAAAATAAGGAAGATAAGAAAGAGAACTACCTCCCCCTCACCCCATTCCTCTCAAATGAGCATTTCTCACCAGCCAGCATCCCTGAATCCTAACCAAAGACAGCATTTTCCCTGAGGTGCGCATAAGAACACACTAAGTAAAAATGTAAGGAAGGAGGACAGCCCTGGTATAAATGCTACTATGTATGCCCTGATCTCTTGTTCCAGAAAACTTTGAACACCTAACAACCTTCTTAATATTTGCCATTGTTTAGGTAGCTTTATATATATATTTTTAAGTCAATGAAAAGTTCTATCTATTGTAGTCATTTATGTGATTACAACCAGATGAATACTGTCTCCAGGATTGCCATACAGTAAGGGACTTGGAATTCAAAAGTGCATGTCTCCCCCCCCCCCCCCCACCCTTGGTAATCAAAATTCCTGGAAACTAGGCTCTCTTGACTGATGCAATGGAAAAAGCAGCTCCTTGGAGCCAGAGATCTTGCCTTGTAACAGTCAGTGCCCTTCACTAGCTGAGTGACCTTGGGCAAGTCACTTAAGTTCTCTGGACCTATTTCCTCATTGGTAACTTGAGAATTTTGTTCTGAACTATTCTAACCTCCCTTTGAAGCTCTAAACATAGGAGTATGTTGGAGAAAATGACTGATATTCTTTAATGGGTCAGTTGTAATGAGGATTCTTTGAGGAAGCTGTGGATGGGTCGCAGTGAAACACATTAGAATATTTTGTTTTGTTCTATCCTGGCTTTCAGGTCAGACATTTTTTATGGTTTGACAAAGGGCTGATTTTATCCTTTTTTTTGTTTAAAGGGGGAGGTTGCAGGTTTTAACAGACCTTCACACAAACCCAACTGACTGTACCAGTTTAAGTTTTTGGAATTTTCTATAGACTGGATTAGGCTCCTCCCCCTCATCCTTCCCTACCCCACAGTACAGGTC